GTCGCACACAGAGAGAGAGAGAGAGAGAGAGAGAGAGAGAGAGAGAGAGAGAGAGAGAGAGAGAGAGAGAGAGAGAGAGAGAGAGAGAGAGAGAGAGAGAGAGAGGTGTTACACATTTACACCCGGGATGGGGTACTTTGAAATGAATCTCGCCCTGTCTTTTGCAGGCAGTGCCAGTAATGTGCAACTTCTTTTTTTTTCTCTTGCTAGTCCCACGGCAGCGCAGCTGCACAGTGCCCAAGGGATCCACAATGGCTCAAAACAAGCTTAAAGTTCCATTGGCAGTATAGGTTACAGTTCTGCTTGACGATATATTCATAATAATTTCATATATTTTGGTTTTATATTATCTATTATTGGATGGGTTTACCTTGACTTGGGTCCATGGAACAGACCTTACATAAGTGGAGACTGTTTCTGTAGGGCCAAAGGTGTGGGTGGGGGGGGGGGAGGGAGCGGAAGTAAAAGAGCTCTGTGGGGTGATATCAGGAAGCACAGGTAGTTTAACTCACACAAGGCCTGCATGCGGATGCGGATGATACTGTCACAACAGTGTGATGTCTCTCCATGAGTGAGTGATTCATTCAGCCACCATCAGACCTCGGCCTGCCGCTGCCTTACAATGTATGGAGGTGTCTTTAATCAAGTTTAATGGGATGGTTCAGGTACTGTCTGACAGATACTGGAGGCATTGCGCGAAGCCTGTCCTGAAAGCCCCACTGCCACTTGGGTGGAGCTGGGAAGTGACATGATGATGTTTGTTCTAAGGTGAACAAAGTGAAGAGAAGGCAAACAGAAATGATGCTTGGTGATCGTTGACTCATGGGTTATGTGTGCTTTGTGACTTGATTGGCAGGTATTTTAAAGACGCATGTGGCTCTGGAAACCACGTTCATTGTAGCATCTGGGAATCAGGGCAGAACGTGTTTGGCGGATCTTTAGATGATCCAAGCACAAAATGGGGTATTTCAAAACGTGGCCAGCAGTTTGTTGCTGGAATTCTTCACCATCTTGCAGGTCTCATGGCTGTGATAGCCCCAAGCCCTAACAGGTATCGTTTTTCGTTGGTTTTCAACTTACTCCACTGTAACACTGTTACTGAAAAGGAACTTTAAAGAGGTGATTTTGGCTTGTCCGCCAGTGCCTGGGAGGCACAAGATGTACGTCAAAATCTACTTGCTCATCAAGCCAAGCTGGTTCCAACTCAAAGAAAGGGAACACTTATTCTACAAAATGGACTGCACATGTTTATGGATTCAACAATCTGTCACGATCCTGACCAATTTCAAAGTGCATATTCACGAGAAAGTACAATGCCGTCCAATTGCAAAAGAAATGAATGGACTTCGAGAGGAGAGAGAGGGAAAGAAGAAGAAGAAGAAGACCGAAAGAAGAAGAAGAAGAGGAAGACAGAAAGAAGAAGAAGAAGAAAAAGAAGATGTACACCGGCAAAAGACCAATGATAACTCCCCCTTTCTCGCCAACCAACTCCTCCTCCTTAGCTCCACCTCTCTCATTCAAACAATAAATAATAATAATAATAATAATGATGAATGGCTGAACCAGAATCAATGTCCGAATCCCTCTTCTACTGCCAGCACAACAAGAGGTCCACCATAGCCATGACCGCCCTCATCTCTCTTCTTCATCCAGGCCGAGGCTATGGCGGACTACTAAGGGCCTTGCCCTGATGTGCCAAAGACAACGCAAAGCAGCTATGGCCTCTTCTGCTCAGGCCTCCATGCCTTACTCTTCCTCGACGCTTCTTTATGCAGCACTAACCCAACAGGGGCCTTCCAGATGCAGCGCCTACCAAGGTGATGAAGATGGTGTCCACCATAGCCAGGTAAGTACCCCTGGCGCTCCCCTCTCCTAGTCCCCTTCTTCCTCCTCCTCCTACCCGAGCTCCTCCACCATAGCCAAGGTGGAGAGCTGGGCGCTCCTCTCCCCCAGCGCTCAACACAGCGCTCTTCCGCTGGTTGCTCCAGCAGTGTGACGCTCTTCCGCTTGCACACAGCAAACGAGGAGCACTCCTGGAGATATAGTGGCCTACCTGCCTCTTGGGTGGTGACTTCCAGGTCGCGTGGCCTCCAAGTTACCGGGACCTCCTCCCTTTCATAGGATAACATCATTGCAGACTCTGATATCGTCGGCACATGCCCTAGACTCAGGCTACTTGGACTGGTACCCACCTCGACCTAGCCTACCAAGACTGGGCCTCCTGACTTTTTGTCTTCTTCTGCTCGGCCTCCGGTTCCCGAAACATCTACCGCTACTTGAGTGGTATCGTCCTATACCTGCTACTTGAGTGTTTTTCCCTGCTTCCCTAAGTGTTGCGGGCCTACTCCCCACTAGAGTGTTTTTCCCACTGCAGCCTTCAAAGTCACGGCCACAGGTAAGTACCCGCCTTGCCTGCCTCCCAAACAAACAAGTGCCCTGGCGGGCCACACACACACACAGGCCGACAAGCACTCAGACAGGCACAAGGACCAGCAAGCACRCACACACACAGACTTAGAAAACTCAGCAGAACGCAGGAATCTCAGCAAGGCATACATTCCAGCAGCAAAACTCAGAAATCAGCGGTGTTCTCAGTCTGTGTTTTGGCAGGTTATTACAAATCTCTTTTTCAGTGGTGTTAGACCTCCACTCTCTCTCTGCAACCAGTCTCCGGTCCTGGGCCAGCTTCTGTAGATGGAATCAAATGACTGAAGCCTTAAAAACACAACCCAAGACATTTTGGGCTTGCAACACCATCTGGGTGATCTGAACATTGTTGGCCGGCATCCGGCACACCTGCCTGAGATCCTCACCAATCTCTGTGGTCTGACTGCAACTAATATCTGTCTTCACATTCTCCACCACCCGTTTTATACACTGCCAGACTTCCTTGCAATCTCCCTTCAGCTTGCCACTGGTCTCCCCCGCCTGCAGCCAGAGGATTGTAATTATACCAGGGAAAGAGGCTTTACCACGATTAGCAATGAGGGACTACCAACTTGAACTACGCAATGCTCGAGCAGGTGAGTGGTCTAATCCTCCATTCCACATCTCTGCCGGCATTGTGCAAAGACCTGGCCATTACATGGTCGTTGTACATGTCTCTGACAATTGGGAGGTGTGGGACAATGGCATCGTGATTCATGTCATGACAGATGTTACTGATTTCTTACATAATGATGCTATTTTCTTGCCACACCAAGCCATCTGCAACCTCTTTTATGTCGAAGTCTGGAAATTCATTCCTCCGGCCCCGTGCTGCCACAAGTGGTTAATGGAAGGCCAAAAATTCGGGGGTTTTCGCCGCATTGCTATTAGCAATGAGGGACCACCAACTTGAACTACGCAATGCTCGAGCAGGTGAGTGGTCTAATCCTCCATCCCACATCTCTGCCGGCATTGTGCAGAGACCTGGCCATTACATGGTCATTGTACATATCTCTGACAATTGGGAGCTGTGGGACAACGGCATCGTGACACTATGCAACCTTCTCCTTTGCAGAGCTACAAACACTGTTACACTTGGCTGTAGCCGCCATCATCTCTGTCACAATCACTACAATGACATGGTTTCTGCATCCATGCGTGCACAGGACTGTCCCTCCATTCCTGACTGCAGGCACCCTCCGCATCCAGACACTCGTACGTCCATTTTGTGGCCATGGGCGCTATACGGAACGCATGGTCTTTTGTGGTGAGCGTTCTTTGACCTGCCATTTGTAGGGAGTGTATGGTGGGCATGCTCAATGCCAGCCGTTGTGGCAATTGTTGTACTGAGAATGCTCAGCTAGGTCTTCCATGTGTTCATCCCCCTAGTCCTTACAATGTATCTCCTCTCTGTCGTCCAGGACAGACCCATTCTTGAGGCTTTTCTCATCCTCTCCTTTTTGCCTTCATCTTCATTCCGCACTCTGTACTTTCCGTTACTTTCCCTTTGTCGTTCCTTGTTTGTCTTCTCTCCATCTCTCTTCCCTGTCTTTATCCCCTCCCCCCTTACTCTGCCTCTTTCTCACAGCGTACAAGTAGGCCGGCAAGGCACACGGGGATGCAGGGAGCTTGTGCTCAACTTCATCAATGTGGCGAGCCTTGCACGTGAGAGGCACGGTGAAGCTTGTGCTCAACTTCATCAACGTGGCGAGCCTTCATCAACTGGCCGCAGGCAGTGGCGTTCCGACGCTAGGCTGCGCACGGCCAGACGGCTGGAAGTGACAGTACCTCGACGGCTTAGGGTTTTGCAGGCACTTGAAGAGTGTTAAGGTGAGGAAGAGGGTAGCAACAGATGGAGCAGGATTTTAAGAAACCAGGACAGGGAACAAGGGGTCAGTAGCAATGGGTAGCTTAGGCAGGGGTAAGGGGAGGTACATCCTTCCGGATTGGAAGTAATCAATGCCACCCATTCCGGTCTCCTGACCATAAAGTGAAGAAGTGTTGGAGTGTGTTGTTTTTAACATTCTGACTTGCCATTGGAATAGGAACGGGACTGACGCTCCCCATAATGGATATGGAGCCAGAGATATTAGGCCCTGTTCCCCCCCCAAAAAAACAACAACAACAACAACAACGAAAAGAGTGCACTCAGTGCAGCACTTGTGGATTTTGGTAGTGATACTGCCATTAAAGAGACAAGCGGGTGCCCGCCGCAGCGTACACCTGCTCCTCTTCATACAGAAGCCACTAAAAAATAAAAAAACATGGCCACAGTTAGGCACAACTTGGTGCTCGGCATGGTTGTGCCCCTTGCAGGTGAATACTATGCGGGTTGGGCAGTAACATGTGGAGCCACGTTGAGGAAGCGCTGGGACGAGGTTGATGGGCGGGACTGAGCCGAATATTTGGAGTAGGAACCCCAGCTTAAATTTTGGGCAGATCGAGGAAGTGCTAGGGGGATTTGAACCAGGGGGAAGTTGAAGATTAAGCGAAAGAAGGCCCCTCAAATGGGCCCGGTTTTACCATTGTACTCTGGGACGCTGGACCAGGTTTCCAGCAGGTGCAGCTCACCACCAATAGAACGCAATGACCACACCCAGGCCTGCTAGGGGGGGATGCTCGTACCACCTTCCCTAGCAGCTTGGAGCGGTTAAAAAAAAAAACAGAAAAAAAAACAGTTAGCCACAACTCCACCCTTGGCAAGGTTATGGGATTATGTGGGCTATATGGCCTGCATGATGCTACGTCCCCTCCCGCTGTGCCATATATGCAGGCACAGCAAAACAGAGAAAACAGACCTTACACACAAGAAAAAACAATCAATATGTCAAATAAATGAGACGTTGTAGAAGTCCACGACGAGAGGGGCACAACTTATTCAACGTCATTGAAGATACTCGTAGTGATGAACTCGCTGCGAAGACTCAAGCTCATCGTGAAAGGGGATCACTGGGAAAAGCCAGCCCTTGGTTGAACCCCGGCTGTGTCTCTGATACGCAGCTGAACAGAATACTCGTGAATGTGAGATTCTGGTTGGACAATTGCGCGGACGTGTTCGGCAAGGCCGATCCGCTAGGGAAGTCGAAAATCATATGTGCCAGGACATTGAGGAAACCAGGCCATGAAGTGGAAACAGCATCAGAAGCACACTGTGTACTGAATTCAACCCGGAGAGCAAACGGTGGAACTGGTGAATCATTTGAATCTCTTTTCGGATGGGGCAGAGGGCTCATAGTGCCTACCACACTTCGCACCTACCGGCAGAGGAGAGGGAGCCTAAATCGACGGACTTGGACCGTGAAACCAAGCATGTCGCATACGTGAGAGTTAGGGACACTTCTTCGTGTGTTGTACTCTGAGTCAGCCTCCCATTTTCAGACCATAGCAACACCAAAAAAGAAGGAAACCCATATGGCCAAATGTAGACACTCGGCCCTTGGCAATGTTGGCATGGCCTGGTGGTATTAAGCGGGCCGAGCGGTCTCATGTAATATGCTCATTTATCATTTATGTGGGTTGGGCGGTACTATGCAGGGTTGCTCATGCTATGTGGACTGGCTGGTACGATGTGCGCAGGGTTGTATTATGTGATGGTCTTCTGTCATTTATTTTGGTTTGAAAGTT